TAAACCGATGATCTTTTGTCACCTGAATTTGATGTACTTAAGGTACAAGAAAGAAGAGACAAAAACATTTTCAGTTGCTCACAAATATGAGCACAGTTCTGCCCCCGTTCTTGCTGTTCACAGTAACACCCACTGAAATGTATCTGCAAGAGAGGCGGACAAATGAGGAAAAGATAGCAGCTTTGGTTCTGTCTTCACAGGGGCACAGTTATCTTTTCTTGAGACTGTTTTCAATGTAGCCTATACAGGCTCCTGGTCATTAGTGTTGTCCTTAATTTCAAATATGAATTCAACGTTAAAAGCACAAACAAAAATAAGTAGATTTTAAAATCACACTTTTGATATGGCAAAATTTTCCAGTTTCCAGTCGTTGTGGATCAAAATTATTGAAAGACTTACAACCCTAATTAAGTTGATAACACTTACAATTGTGTTATTTTTGTAATTGTGTGTGTTGGAGAATTCTGTCCACAACAAAAATACGACTTTAATGGAATGAGTAGAGTGCTCTGTAAGGGCTAAAGGTGATATATTTCAGTTCAGCTGTCCGATTAGCTGCATTTGAACCTAAAATCCATCTATTTGTTTGTTTGTGTTTGTTGGCTTCAATTTCACGTCAAACATGGGTGAACTAGACACACAGACGTTAGCACAGTACATGCATGAGACAGTAAATAATTTTTTATGTGTTCATTTTCTTATCATTATTTTTGCATGTTTAGAAAAAGGGAAAAGCTTTTATATGATACCTCAGTCTCTGCAGGGAAAATGGGCACAAGTGAGCCACACATGCACACTTGCAGGGAAGCTGGATGGATGTGCAGTGCATACTGAACTGTGCAGACATAGTGGAAGCTGTGGAAGATGCACAAAGACCGTTTGTTAAATATAACTTGAAACTAAGTAGAAATCTGCTGTCATTTTAATAAAAAATACACCAAAAATACAGTGTCTGTACATATAGCCCTGTTATTTAAATTATTTAGCAAACTGTTAATGCACTCAAAAACTGTCTCATCTTCATCCTCAGATGGAAGATGAATGGCGAGCACTGATGGCACTGAAACAGGATACAGCTGTGAAGATGCTAAGCAGACGCCTGGGTAAAGAAGCAGCTCGGGCCAAAGCGGAGGCGTCTCTGCGAGCTGAACAGCTTCGGCAGGACGAGCTGATCAAACTGCGGCTGAAGCACATCAAGTTGAATATGAAGATTTGCAAGCTGGAGGCAGAGCTCCGCCGTGGGGAAGAACATGACAGGGACCCCACACAGATCCAGTTTGAGCAGCTGCAGGCTGAGAAGCTAGAGCAGAAAAAACAAGCCGAAAAGCAGCACGAGGGATCAGTAAAGCTGCAGAAGAAGATCAGCAGTAGCTTGGAGGTATGCTGACAAATCCACGGATACAGATTGCTTCTAATTTCTTTCATTATGAGCAATAGCAGTGATATTTGTTGTCTCTCTTGTGTCAGTGCCTGTCACATATAAAGGAGAAGCTGCGCTGGTGCCAGATGGAGGTCAAGGTGAAGAGAGAGCAACTGACTGAGGTGGAGACCGTGGTGGCTGGGAAGAGGGACCACCTAACCAGGGTCAAGCAAGAAAACAGTCGCCTGCACAGACAAAACCTGAGGTTGAAGGAGCAGCGTGGGCTGCTGGGCAACAGGGTCCTGCTGCAGGACTTTGAGGATACTGTGAATGCCTCTGACCAACTGGAGGAACAACTAGAACATCTGAAGTGCCGGCAAGCCGAGATCCTCTTCAGCTGTGGCGGGTGGAAGAGTCAATAATGACTAAAACTTTATCTCAGGTTTCAAAAAGCTATGAAAAAAATGAGAAAAGAACACATGTAGCTGACAAGGAGCTACCAGAATGAGCACTTGCCCTTACAGTTTGATTCAGTGTAGAGTCGCCAAAGTGCTTGCTCATAGGGGGTCATATGATTGTTGGATTTTTCTCTGTATCTATGAAGCGCCTTGAGGCAACTTTTGTTGTGATTTGGCGCTATATAAAAAAAAGAGAAAAAATAAAAATAAAAATAGAGTCTCACTGTAAACTAAGCCTGTGTGCAGTAAAACTTGGAAAACCATAATCTGGATGAGAAGTCATGATCGGGATTCCATGCATCCTCTTATAAACGATAATCATCTAGATAAGGTCACTCAGACATGTTGAATGCAATCTTAAAAACATTGATAGAAATAAAGATACATTTTTGTGGACTTTTTGTATTTTTATATGAAAATTCACTTGCTTTATCACAAGGTTTTAGTGTTTTTGTCCTGTGGTAAAAAAAAACCCCAATTAATTTAATTTCATTTTACAAAGAAAACATAGTAGCGGTTAATACTGTCACCGGCTGGCTTCAGCTTCTGTGTGGGAATAATTCGGTGATTCTGAATTGCCTGTAGGTGAAGATGTGAGAGCGACTGGTTCTCTGTCTCAGTGTCTACTTTGCCACAGCTGGAACAGTCTCTGCCAAATCAAAGTTTCATACTTTTTACATGTCACCTTGATGTCTTTGTTAGACTTTCTAGCCAGAAAGTTTGTGTTCAAATTTTTTTTATATTTTATTTTTTTCCTTGGAATAAAATTAAATAACCAAAACATTCATAATCGAATTAAAAAAAAATACAACATAGAAAACAAAGATGAGTCAGTCTCACAGCCTCTATGTGTATACATAAGATAAGATAAGATAAGATAACCTTTATTAGTCCCACGCGTGGGAAATTTGTTTTGTTACAGCAGCGGACAGAGCAAAATTACATAGAAAAATTAAAAGTAAAAACACTGGAGTAACAATACATTTATTTATGGATTATAAAGACAAGAAGACTTTGTCAGCAATTGTATGAAATTCATTATTTAGAAACCCAGAAGCTCAGAAGATTCTGGGGTTTTGATGAATCAGTCTCTAACACTGCAAGTTTACACTTAATGTAAAAGACCTGGTGTCACAGTAAGAGTTACATGATGCTGATGGGACACTAAGGTGACTCTTTCAATCTTCAGGCACTGAACATTCTTTGGGTCAGTCTTTTTTTTTTTAAAGATAGAATTATCCCAGTACGTGCACATCTCTATAGGGTAAACCTTAAAACTGTAACTTAACACAAAATACATTTTAATGAGGACCACATTTAATTCATTTGTTTGGAAGCTCCTTGTCCTTCCATATACATGTAAAAACCATGAGCTCTCCACCCTTTCTGCATACATTGAGAGTCTGAAGCATGGAAAACAGCACCAAGAGCCAGTGCAGAACAGAGTAGGCTTCACAGATAAGACAATGATTAAATCAGGAACAGCAGAAACTGCGTATAAAGGACATAGTTAGATGTGGATTGCTAAGCGGCATGCAGGTGCACAGCAACTGTGGGCAGGCTAAAGCAGCTTAAATAATGCACCCTATTGACAACTGCATGGACAGAAGAAAAACTAGTTCATGCATTCATTACTTCCAGGCTGGACTACTGCAATTCATTATTATCAGGATGTCCTAAAAACTCGCTGAAAAGCCTTCAGCTAATCCAAAATGCTGCAGCAAGAGAACTGACAGGGACTAGAAAGAGAGAGCATATTTCTCCTGTTTTGGCTTCCTTTCAAATCCAGAATTGAATTCAAAATCCTGCTCCTCACATACAAGGTCTTAAATAATCAGGGCCCATCTTATCTTAATGACCTTGTAGTACCATATCACCCTATTAGAGCACTTCGCTCTCGCTCTGCAGGCCTACTTGTTGTTCCTAGAGTATTTAAAAGTAGAACGGGAGGCAGAGCCTTCAGTTTTCAGGCCTCCAGCTGGTCCATGGTGCGGCGGGGGCAGGACACTTTGGAGTTACCAAGACTCTGCAGCGGCTCTGGTCTCGGTTCTACTGGCCTGGTTGTCACCAGAACGTAGAGCTCCATGTCCATCGGTGGGATACCTGCACGGCCATGTCCATCGGTGGGATGCCTGCACGGCTCAGAAAGGACCTTCCCAACGCACTCATGCCCCATTGCAGCAGTATCAGGTGGGGGCTCCCATGGAGTGGGTTGGAGTGGACATCCTGGGACCATTTCCCACCACTGACCAGGGAAACCGCTACGTCCTGGTTGCCATGGACTACTTCACTGGTCAGGGACTAAGGCCTACGCAGTCCCTGACCAGAGTGCTGTTACCACCACTGAGTGTCTGGTCAACGAGATGGACCCCGGGTTGGAGTACCTCCACAACCTCCTGGCCCGGCTATGGGAGGTGCACCAGTTGACCAGGCAGGCTCTCCAAGATGCAGGCTCCCAACAGAAGCGAGCTTATGATACCTGCTGCAAGGGGGAAGGACTTTCACCAGGTCAGCATGTGTGGGTCTACAGCTCGGAGAGGAAGAAAGGGCTTTCCCCCAAACTAATGAGCCAGTGGGTTGGACCCTGTACTGTTCTCGAGATGCTGTCCGACGTGGTCTACAGGGTGCGGCTGGTCAAACGGAACAGGGTGGTCATACTCCATCGTGATCGCCTGGCACCCTATCAGACCTTGAGTCCACCCAGGGAGGAGTCAGCATCCCAGCTTCAACTGTAGGCCCCCAACCTGGCCTCAGAGATGGCTGGGGAACCCACAGAACATCCTCAACGACGCCATCACCTTCCCCAACACCTCAGAGATTTTGTTATGGACACGCCGGTTGCTGGTGACAGCTAACTACTCAGGTGGGGCTGTGTGGCGTGTTGGGGGAGTAGCTAGTTCTCTCCCATCATGCCTTGGGTTATGTGCTGCTGTTTAGATGTCCTTGTTTTATTGTTTATGTTTACGTTACTTTTAACTGTTATCTTGAATGTTGTGTACTGCGGTACAAAGTCACTGACAGTTATTGCTTTGGAGAAAGGATGCAGTACCATAAGTGAGTTCTGTTATGCTGTTATTGACCCTCGAAGCACAGTGTAGCACAAGCAAGTGTTTAATAAAGAGCTTCCCCTACTAGCTTGGGGTCAAAGAGCAAGCCCAATCTCTGTGTGGAGCTTCTTTGTTAAGATTCTTCTGCATGCCACAATATTATGAAAGCAAAGTAGCCAAACACGTTAAAATTGATCACAATATGAAAACAAACAAGTTTGTTCACTTATTTATCGCTTCCAGATCAGACAGATGTTCAGAGGTGATGTCACCTGACCTTTTATTTGATTTAGTGAAAGCAGCACCATTACCAGTTCTTTTATGTCGATAATTTTGGTAAGGAGAGTTCAGTTCTCGTTTCACTCTATCACAAGGATCTGCAGAGCGTCTGTGAGAAACCGTCTTTGAGGGTGTGTGGGACCTTCACTACAGAAGAAGTAGTTGCTGCTGTCTCATCCAGGTCTCATAAGGGTTGAAATACAAGACAGTACTGTTTGTTTTTATACAAAGAAAATAATGCAAAAAAGAGAAAAAAAAAAACAAAAAACCACCCCCCCAAAAAAACTTTCCAAACATGAAAATCTGAAACTTTTGATTTAATTAGATAATTACTTAACTACATAATTTAACAAGGGAGTATGCAAATTAATTCACAAAGATTCAGGCAGCTTTGGCTAGTGTTTTATTTCCTTTAATAAATTATTATTATTTTAACACTGCATTTTATATTCAAATTATTCGTTTATGAAGGGGCACTTGTTAAAGCCAGCTTAAAAAAAATTCTACCTGAATAAATATGTACTTATTTATATGAAAACTCAGTAGACAAAGAATCATAATATAAACACATAAATGTGTGTTTTATATCATTGGGTGAAGGCGCCACATCAACACAGGCCTTCTGCTGGACTGTCTCCAAATTGACTTATAAAAGCAGCAGCACACTAACTCACCATTACCAGAAGGATATCTCATATGCTGATCTCCTTGGAAAGAAGCATTCGGCTGTTGTTTCACTCTAACACGAGGAGCTGCAGATCCTCTGCTCTCTCATTACATTTAAATACAGTTCTTACAAAATCATGTAAGGATATGTCATGATCCTTTAATTCAGAAAATATAAGATGTATATATATTGATGAGAATGGAATGAGACTGAAAACAATATGAAGCCCCTATGTTGCTCATTAATATCCTAGAAAGTTCCCCAATCTGACAAACTTTGGCCTTTCTGTCACGTAGTCTGTGGTCCTGGAAACAAAGACAAGCTCACAGAGATGGAAGAAGATTCCTCCTTTGAGTATATTTGACTGGATGGTATTAATATTGTTGTAAATAATAACCAATTAAGGATTTTCTGTATATGAAAAGCTAAAACTTTGGTTTCATTTAATAATTAGTTAAACACATAATTTAAACATGTTAAAATTCAACAAAATATGACAAAAATTAAGGTAATTCTATCTCAAATCAACACAGACCTTTTGTTTGACTGGCTCCAATTTGCTTAAAAACTTTATGGTACAAAATTTGAACGTATGTAATGATTGCAGTGGGATCCTTCCTCAGGTCCCTTGTTTTTAGTCTGTTCAAGTGTATGTTATCTTTTCATTGAGTTATTTCACGTCCTGTTCCTTTTGTTCCTTTTCCTTTTTTTGTCATTTTGTGTCTTTTTTTTTGGTTGGAGTTCCCTTAAATACGCTGCTAATACTTGTAGAAAGCCTTCCTGGAAGATTTAAGTTGGGCCTCTGACTGCTATTTTCAGGCCAAACCACGGTCGCACTGCCACCTCTTGGTACAAAGATGTTACGACAGCTACAGTCCTGTTTAGAAACCAGATCTCCAGTTGTCCAGTTGAGAGAATAAATAAATGTTTTTAAATTTACATTTGATGTAAAACAATAAAACTATAAATAAATTGTGATCATTTATTAATATAGGTGATAGTCAAAGTTCATAAGGGGGACTGAAAAAATCCAAATGGACTCTTTCGATGGACGATGACACCATATGTTTCACAAAATTAAGTCTTAAACTCTCAAGTTGTTACAGCTT